ATAATCTAAACAATTATATCTTAAAATAATCTAAACAATTATATCTTAAAATCATCTAAACTTGTGAGTTTCAAAGAAAGATGTACAGTAGTCCCTCGTTTATCGCAGGGGACCCTGAAGCCCCATGATAACTGAAAAACAGCGAAGTAGGAATAGTAGTACAAGTTTATTTTAGTATTATATATATAAAGTTGTTTTAAACCCTTCCCACACTCTTGCAATATTCTGAACAATGTTTCTAAACTCTAAACGCTCTAAGAGACAGAATGTCATGAACTCAGCTCTAGGCCACGCCCACTTTCCTGCTGCAGAGCGGCGCAGAGGACGGAGGAGGAGCTGCGGCAGGAAGTTTCTCCTGCAGTGTGGGCTGCACAAAGGTACAGCAGGTACCAAATTATTTAATTCCATGCCGATCTTGCGGCTCAACCATCAATCAGCCAATTTGTGTTCCATGTCCACTCTTATTTTGAAAAACCACGACAGAGCGAGTGTGTGATAAACGAACCGTGAAGCAGCGAGGGACTGCTGCACCTGCAGAGGAACATAAACGTTACTTTGTGCCGCTGCTGTTTTAACACGACACACGAAGGGCCGAGCAGCGAGTCAGAGCAAGCCCCAGGTGACTGTTTTTAGAAACGGTACATCTTGGCATTTTCACGTTGGTTTCACCTTTAAGCCTGGGGGGGGGGGGGGGATACATCGAACCAACACTCACAGCTCTCCTCCAGCCAGAAACTGGATTAACATGTTCTGAATGTCTGAAAAGAGCAAGCGGGGGGATACGTAACGGTGCTATGAGCCTCTTCTCCTGCCTGTGTTTTATGCTTAGAACCGGGTCGAGTTCTGAGTTTTTCTCTGGGACCCACAAAGAACAGTCCTTTTCTCAAGGACTGCTCGATCTGCAGCGAGAAAAGGAACAGTGTGAAGTTAGATAAAAATAATGACTAAAATGTGTTAAATAAAGAGGATCTTACAGTCAACATGCAGTTATTTGTCTGATAAGATGTTGCCACAGCAACAAATCGCAGCTCGTTCCCCTTTGATCTGTAGATATCTGCACTTTTTAAAAATCATCTTAAATAAACAGGAGTGAAAACGAAGCAGTGCTTTGATGGGTTGGCCCCAAAGAGAACTGAAAGCCACACACCTTCAACAACAGAGCACCAGAGCAAGCGCAGGCCAAGTTGTCAAAACTTGGTTGTGGTTTGGAAGTTGAATCCAGCGTCGACCGAAGCGCCAAAACGAAACGAGCGAAGGAAACTCGAGGAAAAGAAAACTCCTCTCTTGACCTTTATTTGTTCGGCTCTCTGTTTCTTCACCTGCTTCCCTTCCAGTTCCTTCAGGCTCTGAAAGGTTGCTTGGAAACGAAGCAGCTTTGAAGACAAGGAGCGGTCGGTGTGCGAGCACCAGATAATTACCCAAGCTCCAGCCTGTCCCGCTCATCCTCTAATTGGCTGTCGTATGTCCGGACAGAAAACACGGGAACGAGGAGCAGACTTAAAGTCACGACCAAAGTAAAGATCCTCACAGCAAGCTCCCCAGCTCACAGCATGGTGTACATAAGAACTCACTGTGTGCGTACTTGTACACACGTTAAGCAGGTATCAGTCAGTGTGTGGGGTTTGTGTTATTTACCTCTCCTCTCGGTTCTGGCCCACGCACACCCGCCCCCCGTAGCGAGGAGTCGGGTTGCTGCAGGAGCGCTGACGCACCTGGAAACCAATTCCACAGCTGGTGCTGCAGGGGGACCAGGACGTCCAGGGAGTCCACGCCCCGTTTCTATGGCGACACACAACGCAACATACAGACTGAAAACTCTGAACAAAACTCTTAAACACAGAACTCGTTTCTGATGATTCGCCGTTTCCTCACAAAGATGGAGGATTTCACCAAAGCTGCTGTTAAATAAGAAACGAGTCCTAAACTGAGCCGTCATGGCTGACGCTCAGAAGAGAACCGCTCGCGTGGGTTCACAGGAACAGAACAGGATAAGTGTTTCATAAGAGATCGAGGAAACCGGAGAGTGTTGCACAAGTTTCAGCAGAATCCGTCTGCAAACTGTAAAGATAAAGAAGTCACGGTGGTTACGTGTTTCTCTGATTCATCCAGGCAGGACTTGGCAAACACAACTGAACAAATTCACAGACAAACCATAAAGTTTGGAAAACTAAACTTTTAAACTGAAAATGAGAATTTGTTTCAGAATAATTACTTTTACTGAAATCCCTGAACGTCTCGCAGCTTAAACAGGACACGTTCTGGATGTTTTATTTATTATTCAGACATATTTCTCATAAAACTCTTATCTTTAAACCGTTTCCTGTTATTCTCTACAAAATCAAACGTGTACGAGTTTAGTTGAGCACGCAGGAGCTTCAACTGTGAGCGATGAAGAAAAACTTCCTCGCCGCCACCAATCAGCACCTGTCGGCTCCAAAGAACTGACGGTGGAAACATGAAACAGTTGCACAGCTGATCCGAGAGCGTGCGTGTGAGCGTGCACGAAATTAATCACCTAAATTTGTGCATCGACGCGTCTCTACTTTATTTAGACCGAGGCCTTTACAGAAAACTTCAGGAGTGAAGGTCAAACTTTCCTCCAAGGCCAGATGTTTAAAAGACGCCATGCAGTATCGAGAGGTCGTGTGAGGTCACTCAGAAGTAGAAGTTAAAGATGACCCTCAGCTACTACCACACCAAACTGTAGCTAAATATCTTTTAAAATGATTTATAATCACTTTATGAAGCTAAAGTTGAGATCATGTGGAGTTAAAGGGGTACGCACCGTGATTACGTTCTGAAAGTTTCTTTTATCTGTCCAATGTTTCACGAGATATTTTACTAACACAAAGATGGTGTTGACACCAACAGTCAATGCTAAAGTTTTAGGCACAACAACGCACGTTGTGTACGTCTCAGATGTGTACTGAGGATGACTTCCTGATCAGTTCCCCGTGGCGTCCATCTTGAATTATACCGACTACAACGTTAACGAACTGTTGATGTTATTTTCTTAGAGCTTCACTAAAATCTGTCCAGTGATTCACAGGACGTTCTTACTGATGGCTACAGCTAACAGCTAGCTCTATGCTCATTTCCAGTTTGGCTGATTTAAAGCCCCTTATGTGTTGAAGTTCACCTTGGACGTGTTCGTATACCTGGAGCAGTTGGCCACTTCAACGCTGATCCCGTAGCACGACTGGCCACCGCACTGAGGGGCGGGGCTATCGCAGGCCCGGGTTCGACACAGACAGGAGCCTGCGCTGTCGCCGTCAGTGTGGCTGCAGGTGGACCAGCCGGACCAGGGACCGAAACCTCCATCCACTGTAACGTTTCGGACCTGCGAGGGACAAACAGAACAACAACAGAGAAACATTTGTAAGTAATGGCTGTTGCAGAAAAATATTAAATGAAATAACTGATCGTGGCAGCAGCAAGGCTCTCAGGAACGTGTTGCTCTGGGAGACGCAGCCCACGAGCACAGATGGAAACAGAAAAATCAATTTCTCTCAAATAGATACAAAAATAACCACATTACTTCGCTCGCCGCGTGCCAGAAATTGGACAGTTATGAGCCATAAACTCGAGACAGTGCACACAGAAATGTTGCCGTTGTAATGAAATTCCAAAATGAGGAAAGTGTTTCAGGACAGACTCGTTTAGACGACGTAAAGAAACCAGAGCTGAACAGAAGCAAAGAGCTCAGATTTAAGAACATGAGCCGAAAGCTCGACGAAGCTCCAACGAGAGCCTGAAGGCAGCAGACATGTCAGTGCTGCGTTCAGGGTCGTTTAAAAACAGGAAAAAACACTTTCACACCCGGAGACGAGAGAGAGAGAGATCCTCATCTGCTCCGGCAGAACGACGTCTGGCCTGCACTCTGATCAATAACTGAACTCTGATCAATACCTGAACTCTGATCGATAACTGAACTCTGATCAATAACTGAACTCTGATTGATAACTGAACGCTGATTGATAACTGAACTCTGATCGATAACTGAACTTTTATATTGATAACTGAACACTGATCGATAACGGAACGCTGATCAATAACTGAACACTGACTGATAACTGAACACTGAGTGATAACTGAACTCTTATGTTGATAACTGAACTCTGATTGATAACTGAACTCTGATCGATAACTGAACTCTGATCAATAACTGAGCTCTGATCAATAACTGAGCTCTGCCTCAGGTCTAAATGAGAAATGCTCAGATGAGAGACGACATCTGAACAACAGACTAAAGAGATAAACAACGAGTCGTTGCAAACATCATTCACACTGAAGTGGTTTGTTTGTGTCGTCTTGTCTGCTGAATTGATCCCAAACCAATCAATAAAATGTAGTTTTCAATAATTAGTTCATGCTCTCTGTCAATAAAATGTAGTTTTCAATAATTAGTTCATGCTCTCTGTCAATAGAATGTAGTTTTCAATAATTAGTTCACGCTCTCTGTCAATAGATTGTAGTTTTCAATAATTAGTTCATGCTCTCTGTCAATAGATTGTAGTTTTCAATAATTCATGCTCTCTGTCAATAGAATGTAGTTTTCAATAATTAGTTCATGCTCTCTGTCAATAGATTGTAGTTTTCAATAATTAGTTCATGCTCTCTGTCAATAGAATGTAGT